CAAAAAGTTCTTAGATATGATGTCAAAAGCCTAATCCACTAAAAACATGACAAATTGGATTTTATAAAAGTTAAAACCCCTGCTCTGCAAAATAGAAGAGAATAAAAATACACACCACAGACTTGGAGAAAATGTTGAGAAATCACTTATCTGACAGACTGGTATTCAGAGAATATAAAGACCTCTCAAAACTCGACAGAAGGAAAATAGAGTTTAAGTAAAAAATGGGTAAAAGACTTGAGCAGATACTTCATCAAAGAAGTTATATCAATGGAAAATAAGCACAAGAGAATATTTTCAACATCATTAGCCATCAGGAAGTGCAAATTAAAACCATAGTGAGGCTGGGGGCAGTGGCTCATGCCTGTAATGCCAGCATTTTGGGAAGCCAAGGCAGGAGGATTGCTTGAGCTCAGGAGTTCCAGACCAGCCTGGTCAACATAGTGAGACCCTGTCTCTACTAAAAATAAAAAATAGCTGGGCATGGTGGCACACCCCTGTAGTCCCAGCTACTCGGGAGGCTGAAGTGAGAGGATTACTTGAGCCCTGGAGATTGAAGTTACAGTGGGCTATGATAGCGCCACTGCACCCCTGCCTGGGCGACAGAGTGAGACCTTGCCTCCATAAAAACAAAACAAAAAAACCATAGTGAGACACCACACCATTAGCTAAAATAAAAAAACTGACCTGACCAAGTGATGTCAAGAATGTGGAGTAACTGGAACTTGCACACATTGCTGGTGGGAATGCAGAATGATGCAGTCACTCTGGAAGAACGCTTGTCAGCCTTTTATAAAGTTAAACATATGCTTACTATATGACCCACCAGTCCCACTCCTAGTTATTTACCTTAGCAAATGAAAAGTTATGGCCGGGTGCGGTGGCTCACACCTGTAATCCCAGCACTTTGGGAGGCTGAGGCGGGCAGATCACAAGGTCAGCAGATTGAGACCATCCTGGCTAACATGGTGAAACCCTGTCTCTACTAAAAATACAAAAAAATTAGCCGGGCGTGGTGGTGGGTACCTGTAGTCCCAGCTACTCGGAAGACTGAGGCTGGAGAATGGCGTGAACCCGGGAGGCGGAGCTTGCAGTGAGCAGAGATCGCGCGGCTGCACTCCAGCCTGGGTGACAGAGCTAGACTCTGTCTCAAAAACGAACAAACAAACAAGCAAGCAAACAAACAAAGAAAAGTTATGGTCACATGAAAACTTGTATAGCAGTGTTTCATAAAGCTTTGTTTGTAATACCCCCAAACTGGAAACAACTGAAAACTTCTCCCACTGGTAAATGGGTTAGTAATCTTTGGTACATCCATACGGTGAATGGAACACTACCGCGCAAAAAAAGGGACCCAGCAAGTTGGTTGGATCTCAAAGGTAACATTCTGAGTGAAAGAAGCCCATCTCAAAGGTTTACATATTGTATTATTTCATTTATATGACAACCTCAAAAAGATGCAACTGTAAATATTAGAGAACAAATCGGTGGTTGCTAGGAGTTAGTGGGAGAATGTGGCCTTAAGGGAGCGGCACGAGGGAGTTTCTTAGGGTGATAGAGCTCTTTTGTATCTGCATTGAAGCAGTGGCTATATGAATCTGTATTTTTTAAACCTTCTGGAAATAGCCAGTCACGGTGGCTTATGCCTGTAATTCCAGGACTTTGGGAGGCCAAGGCTCGGGGATCATTTGAGCCAAGGTGTTTAAGACCAGCCTGGGCAACATGGCAAAACCCCATCTCTACAAAAAATACAAAAATTAGCCCAGTGTGATGGTGCATGCCTGTAGTCCCAGCTACTCGGGAGCCTGAGGTGAGAGGATCGCTGGAGCCCAGGAGGTGGAGGCTGCAGTGAGCTGTGATTGTGCCAGTGTACTTCAGCCTGGGTGACAGTGAGACCCTGTTTCAAAAAAAAAAAAAAAAAAAAAACGAACAAACTGATAGAACTGTACATAAGAAAAGTCAATTTTACCGTAGGCTAACTTAAAAATGAAATATCTAAAATAATATTGACATGAATACAATAAAAATGTTAACATAAATAACATAGTTATGCAAAAGAGAACTTCACAAAAGAATATCCAAAAGAAAAATGTTATAGTGAGAAGAATGGCATTGTTTTACAATTTTGCAAAATTTTTTTTCTGCCTTAAAGAAGACATTGGATTCAATTGTATATATATAATACTATGTATCTTACAGACTCAGCAAAGCTCTATTGTACACTCATGAGACAATGAAAGTAAATTAGACAAGTCATCCCCAGTATTTTTTTTTTTGTGAGATGGAGTTTCACTCTTGCCCAGGCTGGAGTGCACTGGCGTGATCTTGGCTCACTGTAACCTCTGCCTCCTGGGTTCAAGCAATTCTCCTGCCTCAGCCTCCCAAGTAGCTGGGATTACAGGCAAGTGCCACCATACCCAGCTAATTTTTGTATTTTTAGTAGTGACAGTGTTTCACCATGTTGGCCAGGCTGGTCTGGAACTCCTGACCTGCAGTGATCTACCCGCCTCGGCCTCCCAAAGTGCTGGGATTACAGGCATGAGCCACCACGCTTGGCCTCAGTATTGTTTTGAGAATACTTTTGACCTCATAGACCGTTCTCCTAAAAAAAGATTTGGGGATTCTCCAGGGTTCCCTATGCCACACTTTGAGAACCACTGGCCTATGTTATAACTTTGTGCTAAAGGAAGTACTTTTCTTCTTATGATTAGTTTTAGGGAAAATATTACTTTATCCTTCACAGAAAAAAAATCATTTAATATATTTATTGATTGAATTATGATATACAGTCATAATTTTAAAAGTCTAATTCAGATGTTTCTTTTTTTTTTTTTTTTGAGACAGAGTTTGCCCAGGCTGGAGTGCAATGGCACGATCTTGGTCACTGCAACCCCCACCTCCTGGGTTCAAGCCATTCTCTTGCCTCAGCCTCCCAAGTAGCTGGGATTACAGGTGCATGTGCCACCATGCACCATGCCTGGCTAATTTCTGTATTTTTAGTAAAGACAGTGTTTTACCATGTTGGCCAGGCTAGATATTCAGATGATTCTTATACTTAAATGGTCATTTTGTTTATGATTTCCAGTAATAACCAGCCCTAGGAACCTTAAAAAAACCTTCCTTAAAGGGTTTTTTTTCAGGCTGGGCGTGGCAGCTCATGCCTATAATCCCAGTGCTTTGGGAGGCTGAGGTGGGAGGATCACCTTAGGTCAGGAGTTTGAGACCAACCTGGCCAATATGGTGAAACCTCGTCTCTACTAAAAATAAAAAAAGTTAGCTGAGCGTGGTGATGCGCGTCTGTAGTCCCAGTTACTTGGGAGGCTGAGGCAGGAGAATTGCTTGAAACTGGGAGGCAGAGGCTGTAGTGAGCCGAGATTGTGCCACTGCACTCCAGCTTGGGCGACAGAGTCAGACTCTGTCTCAAAAAAAAAAAAAAAAAGTTTTTTTTTCATTATAGGAGAGTAGATATTGTTTTCACCATATGAGAGGAATGACTTACAAATTATTTACTGTCAAAACTTTAACATAGCCATTTCTTTTCTTTTTTCCACCCCGAGACAGAGTCTTGCTCTGTTGCCCAGGCTGGAGTGCTATGGCCTAATCTCGGCTCACTGCAACCTCTGCCTCCCCGGTTCAAGCAGTTCTCCTGCTTCAGCCTCCTGAGTAGCTGGGATTACAGGCACACACCACCATGCCCAGCTAATTTTTGTATTTTTAGTAGAGATGAGGTTTTACCAGGTTGGCCAGGCTGGTCTTGAACTCCTGACCTCATGACTCCTGACCTCATGATCCGCCCGCCTCGGCCTCCCAAAGTGCTGGGATTATAGGCATGAGCCACTGCACCCGGCCGCCATTTCTTTTTTAAAGTGAATAATGGGATTCCTTGTAAGGAGTGGCCTATCATGGGTGGAAAGATGCTTGTATACCCCATTTCAGGTTATACTGCACTGTTCTTTTGTTTGTTTTGTTTTGTTCAGACACAGTTTTGCTCTTATTGCCTAGATTGGAGTGCAATGGTGCGATCTTGGCTCACTGCAATCTCTGCCTCCCAGGTTCAAGTGATTCTCCTGTCTCAGCCTCCCAAGTAGCTGAGATGACAGGCATGTACCATCATGCCCGGCTAACTTTTTGTATTTTTAGTAGAGATGGGGTTTCTCCATGTTGATCAGGCCGGTCTCAAACTCCTGACCTCAGGTGATCTGCTTGCCTCGACCTTCCAAGGTGCTGGGATTACAGGCATGAGCCACTGTACCTGGCTCATACTGCACTGTTATGTGAGCAGTACTATTCTTCTTGGAAGCCATTTGCTGTCTATACATCAGAAAGTTTCACTTCCTAAGAAACTTCATGAAATCTATAAGCAGCTTCTTTGAAGATGGCCTTTTGTAATCTGCATATGACCCCAAATTCTGAAACTGACTAGGACTGATTGCAACATCAGGAAGGAGGAACTTCCTGCCTCTGCAAGGTTTGGGCAATGTGGAGGTTGGGGCAGGTGCCACCACCCCGGGGCTTAGACTCAGTGAGTTTGCCTCAGTGACCCAGCTCTGTGAGCTTAACCAATATCTCAGAGTAAAGGCTATTAAGTAGGACAATCTGATCTGGTCTAAACTAATTTTGGCCTGGTGCAGTGGCTAACGCCTGTAATCCCATCATTTTGGGAGGTCAAGGCCAGAGGATTGCTTGAGTCCAGGAGTTTGAGACCAGCCTGGGCAACGTGGCAAAACATTGTTATTACTAAAAAATAAAAAATTAGCGGGATGTGGTGGCACACACCTATAGTCCCAGCTACTCAGGAGGCTGAGGTAGGAGGATCACGTCAGTGAACCAAGGTTTAGGTTTAGACCTGTGGACCAAGATGGCACCACTGCACCCCAGCCTGGGAGACAGAGGAAGACCCTGTCTCAAACGAACAAACAACATAAGAAAAGCCCATTATATTTGGAGTTGGCTGTGTTTCCCTCAGTAGGCAGGTTCATTATTGAGAGTTGGAGGCTTACCATCTAGCTGATATTTGTGGATGGTGAGACTGCTTTTCCCTGGCAGTCTCTTGGAAGCAGTCAAGGCAACCAGGCCTTTAATGGAAAAAGGAGAAGAGACAGGAATACCAGAGGCAGTCCCTCAACCTTGGATTTCTCAGCCTCCATAACTGTAAGAAATAAATTCGTTTTATTTATAAAATACCTAGTTTCAGGAATTCTGATATAGGTAACAGAAAATGAACCAATATAGTACCTATGGTCCAAGATCTTTAAAGGGAGCTCCTAGGTCCACTATCTGGAAGAAATGTTACAACTAAATAACAGAAAGATTAAAATATGGGTAAAGGACTTAGACATTTCTCTAAAGATATACAAATAGTCAACAAGCACATGAAAAGATATTCAGCATCATTACTTATTAGGGAAATGCAAATCAAGACCACAATGAGGTACCACATCATGCCTACAAGGATAACTATATATATATATATATATATATGTGTATATATATATATATATATATATATATATATATTTTGAGATGGAGGCTTACTCTGTCACCCAGGCTGGAGTGCAGTGGCGTGATCTCAACTCACTTTAAAAAGAAGGAAATTTTGACACACTGATGAACCTTGAAAACATTATAGTAAGTTAAATAACTCAGTCACAAAAGGAAAAGCACTGTATGATTTGACTTATAGGAGGTACCTAGAATACTCACAATCTGGCCGACAGAAAGTAGAATGGTGGTTGTCAGGGATTTGGGGGACAGGGAGTGGAAAATCTATCATGGACTTGGAGTTTCAGTTTGGGAAGGTGAAAAAGTTCTGGAGATGGACAGTGGTGTAGGTTGTCCCAAAATGAGAATGTACTTAAATGTTACAGAACCGTGTACACTTGGAAGTGGTTAAAATGGGCCAGGCATGGTGGCTCACGCCTGTAATCGCAGCACTTTGGGAGGCCCAGATGGGTGGATCACCTGAGGTCAGGAGTTCGAGACCAGCCTGGCCAACATGGTAAAACTCCATCTCTACTAAAAATACAAAAATTAGCCAGGCATGGTGCTGCACACCTGTAATCCCAGCTACTTGGGAGGCTGAGGCATGAGAATCGCTTGAGCCCGGGAGGCAGAGGTTGCAGTGAGCCAAGATTATGCCCCTGAACTCCAGCCTGGGCAATAGAGGGAGACTCTGTCTCAAAGAAAAAAAAAAAGGAAATGGTTAAAATGATAAATTTTTGTTATGTATATTTTACCACGATTTTTAAAAATAAATGAGGTATTGATACTTCATTGACAATGTAGATGAACCCAGAAAACATTATGACAAGTGAAAGAAGGCAGAAATTGAAGGTCATATGTTGTGGTATGATTCCAATTATATGGAACATCCAAGATAGGTAAATTCATAGAAACACACAGCAGATTGGTGGGTACCAGGGGCTAGAGGGAGGAGGGAACAGCGAGTGACTGCTTGGTGGGTACAGGGGTTGGTCTCCTTTGGTGTGAAGAAAATATTTTAGAACTAGAGGTGATGTTTCTTACAACCTTGTGAATATACTAAGTGCCTCTGAAATGTGTGTTTTAAATTGGCTAATTTTATATTATGTGAATTTCACCTCAATTTTTTGCAACAGAGACTCCTTCAGGGTGAGCAAAGGCCTGGAAACCAGTATGCAGATAAAGAAAAGGAGAGAAAGAGATAATCAGTGCATGCAGTTGTCAGCTGGCTGGGACCTGAGGAGAGTCACTTCTGGAGGCACCTGGTCTTTATCCCGGTCATCAGGTACAAGGCAGGCATTAATCCTGTGATCCTTATCTGAAGCTCAAGTTTGATTCGTTGTTTTCTTAAGTACCTAGTGTTATCCCCAAGCTTGTAATAATAGTTTCTTAATTGTTACAGCCAGTATCTCACCTTCAGAAGTAAGATGCTTAGGAAACCAAGACAAGGAACTGTGTGTTGCAAACACCATCACCCTGGAGAAGAGGTGGCAGGAGGTGACCTACAGAAAATGGAGCAATAGCCTAGAGCAAGAAACACAGAACAAAAGAGAAATGAGGGGTTAGGCAACCTCCTGGAAGCACCAACGGGACAAGCACATATTCAGGGGCCTCCTAACAGACTCGACTTCCAGCATCCTCAGATGCGGGTAGACATGTGACATAGACATTCAAGACTGGAGAACTCAGGGACTTCTGATTTATATCAAGAAATGCAAAGGCCTGGCACGGTGGCTCACGCCTGTAATCCCAGCACTTTGGGAGGTCGAGGCGGGCAGATCATGAGGTCAGGAGATCGAGACCATCCTGGCTAACATGGTGAAACCCTGTCTCTACTAAAAATACAAAACATTAGCCGGGCATGGTGGTGGGTGCCTGTAGTCCCAGCTACTGTGGGAGGTTGAGCCAGAAGAATGGCGTGAACTCAGGAGGTGGAGCTTGCAGTGAGCCAAGATTGCGCCACTGCACTCCAGCCTGGGTGACAGAGTGAGACTCTGTTTCAACAAAAAAGAAAAAAGAAATGCATACACAGCAGACATGAGCCTGTGGAGTGGAATTCTGGAAAAGCTCACAGCCCAGAACATAATGCAGACTCCCCCAGCCACAGCACCTTCCAATCCTGAGAAGAATGCTGATTCCCCATCTGAGCACCCATTCTCCTGCAACATAAGGGAGAGGATTTCACCTGAGGTTCAGACCAGCATCTCTAAAGGCAGCTCCCCACCTTGGCCTGTTGGTGGCACTTGTAGGAGAAGGGGAGATAGTATGAAAAGAGCCACAACTGGAGTCACCTGGACAGGGTGGAGCTTGATGGAAACTGACATTTGTGCCCGTTGGAGGCAAATGTAGAATTTGGTATCTTCCCTAGTGTCAGGCACATGAAACTCTTCAGTGCCCATGACTTTTGACAGTGACTTCAGAGCACATCTGGAAGACCCATGTGGCCCAGGCTTCACACAGGCAGGAGCTCAGCTTCACTCACAGCAGGATTCCTAGTGCCAAGAACACCACAGGTGCATAGCAGGTGATCAAAATAATTGTATGTGGCTGAATCAGTGAGGGATGAGAGAGAGGACTTGATGCTAGCTGCAAACTAAGAGACCTCATTAAAACCTAACGTGGCTGGGCGCGGTGGCTCACGCCTGTAATCCCAGCACTTTGGGAGGCCGAGGCGGGTGGATCACCTGAGGTCAGGAGTTCGAGACAAGCCTGGCCAACATGGCGAAACCCTGTGTCTACTAAAAATACAAAAAATACAAAAAATTAGCTTGGCATGGTGGTGGGTGCCTGTAATCCCAGCTACTTGGGAGGCTGAGGCAGGAGAATCGCTTGAACCCAGGAGGCGGAGGTTGCAGTGAGCTGAGATTGCACCACTGCACTCCAGCCTGGCAATAGGAGCGAAACTCCAACTCAAAGCAAAAAACAAACAAACAAAAAACACCTAACATGTGAGGTCTGGCACGGTGGCTCAGACCTGTAAGCCCAGGATTTTGGGAGGCTGAGGCTGGAAGATTGCTTGAGCCTAGGAATTCAAGACCAACTTGGGCAACATAGTGAGACCCTGTTTCTGGGAAAAAAAAAAATTACCTGGGCATGGTTACAGTCCTAGCTACTTGGGAGGCCGAGGCAGGAGGATTCCTAGAGCCCAGGAGTTTGAGGTTATGATTGCGCCACTGCATTCCAGCCTGGGCAATGGAGCGACACCCTGTCCCTCTACAAAAACTATATATATATATAGTGTATGTGTGTGTATGTATGTGTGTGATACCAGAAAAAAAAAAAAAAAACACATATTCATTGTGGGGGAAAAAAGAGCCTGACTTTGTAGGTGTATAAGCATGGAGTCCGGTTCAAATCAGGCTCTGATCTTTCTGGCTCTGTGATATGGGGCAGGGCATATTACCAAGCTCAGCCTCAGCGTCTCTACCTGTGAAATGGGCTTGATTCGGTACCTACCACACAGGGCTATTGTAGAACTATATGAATTAATGTTTGTGAAATATTTAGCATGGTACCCAACACATGGTACTCAGGAAGAAACAACTCTTGCTATTAAGTGCTTTGCACTTTGGTTTCCACAGAGCTAACAATTTTTGCTGTCTAGCTTTGTGTCTTTGAAAGATTTTTGAGCTCTGAGAATAACCTCTTAAGACCCCAACACTTCTGGAAGAGGTCACACTTTGAGCTTCAGTAGCTGGCATATTTGTCAATTAGTTAACCGTGTGCTGCAAGCAAGTCCCTGTAGAGACTGTTCACGGGCATGAGCCACAGGGAATACAGTGCGAGGTCTGTGGAGGTGGCAGCTGAGGATGTCAACAGGGAAAGCATAGAGTACCAAAGACAAAAGTTGCCCAGGACAGTTCTGTGTTAGCTACCTGGTGGCAGTCTGGACACCCAAAGATAGAGCTGAAGACACCTCTAATGCAAGAGGCGGATGCCCCGGAGACGTGGCTGATTCCTTGGCTGATTCCTCAGCCCCGCCACCGTGCAGCTTTGTGACTTCCTGGAGTGCCTACATGCAAGCAGAAAAGTCCCAGGATAAAGAAATGTGGATATTCCACATATTTTAAAAAGAACTGGAGGGATGAAGAGGACGAGCTGTCCCAGTAGGCCCGGGACTGCCCTGGTTTTAACACTGAATGTTCCACATCCTGATAACCCTTAGTCCCAGGCAAATCAGGCCAGTTGGTCATCTACTTGGAGGTTATCAAAGGAGGTTGGTTTTAGCATCCTCTTCCCTTTCCTGTTACATTGAGACCATAAGGTGCAATTGAATAAACTTGATTCGATTTCTTCAAAAAAGCCAGAAATTGATCTAATAGGTTTTGCTCGTATTTGGTAATTGAATTGGACTGTATACAGTCTGCATGTTTACCTTATTTTCTATTACATAATGGTACCAAATATCACAATGATTTTTAAAAATTAATGTCTTTAGTAGTGGATTACTAGGTGTTGAAATGCTTTATAATATACTTATGAAAACATTTGTACAAATAATTTTATCCTCCACATGACATTTAGAAAAGTTTAGTCTGGCTGGGCGCGGTGGCTCACTCCTCTAATCCCAGCACTTTGGGAGGCCAAGGTGGGTGGATCACCTTAGGTTAGGAGCTCCAGACCAGCCTGGCCAACATGGTGAAACCCCGTCTCTACTAAAAATACAAAAATTAGCCCGGTGTGGTGGCGTGCACATGTAGTCCTAGCTACTTGGGAGGCTGAGGCAGCAGTGAGGCAAGATCACGCCACTGCACTCCAGCCCAGGAGTCGGGGTGAGACTCTGTTTCAAAAAGAAAGAAAAGAGAAGAGAAAAGATGAAAAGAAAAGGAAAGGTTTAGTTTGAAATTCTGTAACTGAAAGTTCTTGGGGTTGGAGGAGGTGGGAGGCAGTATCTTTCTGTTGTTATATTTCTTTTTTTTTTTTTTTTTTTTGGATGGAGTCTTGCTCTGTCGCCCAGGCTGGAGTGCAGTGGTGCGATCTCGGCTCACTGCAAGCTCCGCCTCCCGGGTTCACGCCATTCTCCTGCCTCAGCCTCCCCAATAGCTGGGACTACAGGCGCCTGCCACCACGCCCGGCTAATTTTTTGTATTTTTAGTAGAGACGGGGTTTCACCGTGTCAGCCAGGATGGTCTCGATCTCCTGACCTCGTGATCCGCCCGTCTCGGCCTCCCAAAGTGCGGGGATTACAGGCGTGAGCCACCGCGCCCAGCCTGCTGTTATATTTCTTATACTCCAGTGTCAGTGAAACTACATCATCCTTTGTAAAATCAATAAAATCCCTGTCAATTTATCTGGCCATTTGATACTTTATCATCTATAATTTTTCAAGACATCTATTTGGTTGAAGTGCCTTCATCAATTGATGGACTGTACCTCAGTCTGGTTTGGCAATTTATATTGTATTTTCATCTGAGTTTATCTTCTCTATTTCATGAGCTTCACTAGGGTCCGTGGTTCTCAAGTTGGATGACAAGAAACCCCAATCTTCCATACAGAGTACAATTTGGCCATTGGTTTTAACTCAGGTCATGGCATAGCAGTTGCATTTCTATGGAAACAAAGCTAACCTTGGAAATGGACTCTAATCAAAGACTCACTAACATCAAACAAGTCATAACCACGTTAAGTAATGACTTAAAGGCAAAAATCAATAGTAATTCACTTTGAGCATTTAAAGAGTCAGGCTCTCAGTCACTGTCGTTGAGATTTTGAAAGGATAATAGAAAACAGCTCATTCAACTGCCTTATTTAATAGGTGAGCTCACAGAAATGAAGTAACTCAGTCAAAGTGACATTGGTTTTCATGGCTAAGTGCAGGAACTGGAAAATAATGGAAGTATTGTTAGAAATTACAATAATATTGAAATTTGACTTCAAGCTAAGGGGTCAAGTATGAAGATATTAGCTTCACAAACTCAATAGCAAATATGTCCTAAGAGAAAAGACAATTTTATTTAGCACTATCTTTTTTTTTGCAAAAGATTTATAATAAGATAAAGAAAATAAAGTTTGTCTGCTAAGAGAACAATGCATTACTTCCATAATTTCTTGAACAACTGTAATGAAGCCAGAGTATCCCAAGCCTAAAACAGTCTACCACATGAACGTGAGGCTGTAGCCTCACACATCTGAGCACCTCCTCACTATCCACATCTGCTCATGCCGGGGTTTAGTCCCTACCCAAGTGTCACCCTAGTCTTGCCCATGAGGACATGCCCAGTGGACTCAAGTGCAAGTCCATCTGTATTTTTGGGCCTTTCTCTCATGATGGTGGCTTTCACTGTGATGCTCCCATGCCCTTCGAGCCCTGAGTGCAAGGCCAGGGTGCCCCACAGCCCCCTAGCTGCTGCTGAGTTCCCCACCCCACAGATGGGAGGTATGTTCCTCCCATTCTGGGTCTCAGTAGGTCACCTGGGCCCTGGTCCTCTGAAAGCCTATTGAATACAAGTCAGCAACACAAGGCTGTTTTATTCATTACCCATACAATTCAAGAAATCCAATT